AGTGTTTTCTCTCCATATGGAAGCCAGAAAATCCCATGTTTGGGCTGCTTTCTTTGAATTTTGGTCTTTTTTTTTTAACCTTTAAACTTTCCTTTTTATCTAAAAAAGTCATGTGTAAATATATATATATATATATATATATATATATATATATATATATATATATATAATTCAAAGCCAAGCACAAAGTTTAGCACAGCGTTGGGTAAACATAAAATATATGTCATCAGACACAACACAGACTCATTTTTATATACAGTCTTATTTCCGTGCAAACAAGCTTGATATTCACTTTCATATATCAAAGTACAAATCTGAGTCAAAGCCTTGAAAAAGACATAATTCATCGACATTTTGCATTTGTACCCCAGAGAAGGGGGGAGGGGGGAACCAGAGCGCTCACCCTGAGCCCACTACCCGCATGTAAACTGGCGGAGAGTGCAAGGACCCAGAACTGTCCCTGCCACTCACACCGTGGGTCCTGGCCATCTCCTAGCACCTTTTTCTATGTGAGATTAACAGGGATTCAGGATGAGATTCAGAACGCTGAGGGTTTGCTCCCAACCACGTTCAGGACTTCCACCAGGCTGCCACACCTGACAATTTCTATGGGAGAGCGACACCTTTTCCCCGTCTCAAGTCTTTCTTGAGAAGAACAAACAAGTCCTCAGAGGCTGCTGGGGGCCCCCCGACCTGGGTGTCCTCTCCCCTGGAGCACAGATGAGCCCCCCACCCGCAGGTCAGGAAGGAGGGACAGTGAGCAGCTGGTACAGACGCCTCCACACCAGAGGGGCAGAAGCCATGGAAACCCCATTCCTCTGCTAGACTGGCCCTTGGCCACCGCACCATATAACACAGCACAGCAGCAAACGTGAGGCTGTGCGGTCCCCCAAGACAACCTGGCCAGCACCTCCTGATACTGCCTGTCAGCGGGCGCTTTGGAACAGCCCTCGAGCTCAGGAAAACCCTGCTGGGCGCCAGGACAGGGCTCCACTGCGTCCCTCTAAGGACAGTTTCACGTGCTCTGGATTCAGGCTGAGCAGCAGACAATCACCAGGCCTGCAGCACAGGTCACCGCCATGACACTCTTAACCTCCAGAAAGAGCAGCTCCGAGAGCTGTGAGAGCCCTGAGACGGCCTGAACTCTGAGCGGCCACTGCCGCCTTCACTAAAGACCAGAACCATCTGCCTCAGATTCAACCCGACAGCCACAGGGGAAGGCTGTGGTCAGGAGCTTGGTCAGGAGCTGTGGTCAGGAGCTGTGGTCAGGAGCTGCGGGAGTCTGCAGGCTCAGCAGAGCGCAGGTGCACTGACCACAGAGCTGCTGCCCACCTGTTTGGCTGCAGGGTGCTGACTGAGCACCACCCGCTCAGCTGAGCCTGAGCCAGAATTTCTGCTGAGGAAGAAAAATACGGGCTGGGAGGCAGGGGAATGGGGGGTGGTGAGGGGCCCGATCCTGCATCCTGCAGCCCAACCCAGTCTCTGGACTCTCTGACCAGGAAAGTATACCTTGAATAAAACCAGACACAACTCACCCTGTCGTTAACAACTAACACTGCCACCTTCAGAAAGCAGAATGACAGTTTCTTTCAGGAAGGGAGCCCCACCCCATAGCTTAGCTGAGCAGTTAGAAAAGTTTTTCCCTCATCCATTCTTCTTTCAAAAACGACATGTTACCTCTGAACTCATCCTGCAGCTAAGGGAACTAAAGGACTAATCTCTGTCTGTGATTAGAAGACAGAAAATGGAAGCCAGAAAATCCAGATTGGATAATTTTTTCTGCACCTGTTCTGAAGGTCAGGATAATGGGCTGAAGTTCTTTCTATTTTGAAAAATGAAGTGTGTGGTAGGTAGGATCCCAGAAACTTGGCTCATAGTGTGATTGTTACCTCCTGTCGAGAGGGGGCAAAATTGTGACATATGCAGTCAAGAGGAGAAATGAAGAATGTCCATACGCTTCTGCCCCTTTCAATGCTTTATTCACTCAAATTACTCAATATAATTTCACTCTGTAGGTTCTTAATCAAGAAAACGACAATCCTTAATGCTAGGCACTGCGATAGACATAATCCATTCACAGTAAACAAATCTAGATTAATTAATTCACAGCAAACAATTCTAGATTAATTCTAAGCACTGCAAAACACAATTATGACAGGCTTATGACAGACATTCCCTCTCCATGCTAAGTTCAAAAGTCTCAAGCCTTAGGATTTATGTCCAGCAGATGCAAACTCACTTAGACCGCGGTGACCAGGTCCAGAACCAAGGCAGGCTTTTCCTGGTGTGGAGTCGAAGACTGGTTGAGCAGAGAGTCATAGGGAGAAGCTGCGACTCTCACCAAGGTCCAGGTAGAGTTTGAGAGCAGTGAGGATCACGCAGAGAATCAGGAAATGATGACAAGTGCTGGGATGTCAGTCCAGGTTTTCATCAGGCTCTCTAGCTCAAGTGCATCCTTGTTTCGGCTGGCTGAATCCCTATGTATCCGTTCTATTATTTATACTGAATTTGGGGGCTTTTGACCCCACTTTCAGTCTTGATCAGCTACCACCAGATTTCTCCATGACATCATTTACTCTGGGGTCAGAAACATCTGGTCTGGTGGTCTCTATCCTGATCTTCTTGCCTTTCCCTCGGGACAGCCTGCCAGAGGCTTCACTCTGTTTATCAGGGTGAGGGGAAGTAACTTGTTTGAGGCCATACTGGAGGGCTCTGTGGGTGTGCCTGGTGAGACTGCAGGTTTCAAACTGGAGTTTTTAAAATGGAGTTGCTTAGGCTCAGGCCTAAGTCAATCCTAATACCTCCAAAAGATTTCATGTGTATCAACTGCAAGGAAATCTATCACCTTGGCATTCAGATGTATTGATTGGGGTTTGGATTTTAATAGATTACTGCATTTGTATTTTCTATTTCTTTTCTTTCTCCTTCTCCTCCCCCCTTCCTCTTCCTCTTTCTTCTTCTTTTCATTGGTACCAGGAATTATACTTGGGGGCACTTAACCACTGAGCCACATCCCCAGCCCTTTTTATTTCTTATTTTTATTCAGAGCCTTGCTAAGTTGTTTAGGGTCTTGTTAAGTTGCTGAGGCTGGCTTTTGGATTTGCAATGTTCTGCCTCAGCCTCCCAAGTCCCTGGGATTACAGGCATGTGCTACTACACCAAGATCTATTTCTTCTTTGATAATCAATGGTCTCTACCACTTACATCTTCAACTTTCTTGATGAAAAAGCCTACACCTAAATCAGTTTCTCTGGGGCTGGGGTTATAGTTCAATGGTGGAGCATCTGCCTAGCATGCATGGTGCCCTCATTCCAATCCTAGTGCCAAAAAAAAAAAAAAATCAAGTTCCTTCTCTGCTTTTTCTTTTTTCCCTGATCTTCACCTCTCAAGTCCTCACTGCCTCAATTGCTCCTTGATGCTTTTAAACAGATTAAATTTTGCCTACTTTTCTATATAATTTTTCTCTTGGAAAAAATATATAGAGAGACCCTCATTGTTATACCAAATTACATATAAGAGGAAATGAGGGGAAAGGGAAAAAAAACAAGGGGGGAAATGAATTACAGTAGATGGGGTAGAGAGAGGTGATGGGAGGGGAGGGGAAGGGAGGGGGGATAGTAGAGGATAGGAAAGGCAACAGAATACAACAGACACTAGTATGGCAGTATGTAAAAACGTGGATGTGTAACCGATGTGATTCTGCAATCTGTATACAGGGTAAAAATGGGAGTTCATAACCCACTTGAATCAAATGTATGAAATATGATATGTCAAGAGCTTTGTAATGTTTTGAACAAATAATAATAATTAAATATATATATATATAGAGAGAGAGAGAAATATATATATATATATATATATATATATATATAGTCTGCAACAGCCATGATACTAGTGTTAGAAACAGAAGTTGTTTTCCATTCACTTTTTTAAAAAATGTTTTTCTTACTTGTTGATAGATCTTTATTTTATTTATTTATACGTGGTGCTGAGAATCGAACCCAGTGCCTCACACATGCCAGGCAAGTGCGCTACCACTGAGCCGCAGCCCCAGCCCTGCCATTCACTTTTAACAAACAGGAAGACAAAGGGGAAAAGAGGTTCAGTTCAATTCTTACAAATATAATTTTGGAGATATAAAATTTAAAATTCCATGCTCCTCAAATGTGAAGGATGAATATTATATATAGGTAAGTTCTCTGACAATAATGTATTTCAATTAGAAAGTAATGAAAACAATACTGACTTTCTCCAGTATTTGAAATTTAAGAAGCATACCTCAGATGTACTCATGGGTTTGCTATAAGGAAAATGGTTAAGAAGTTGGCACACACTGGCTGCTCCTTGATGTTTTTTAGTGAGATACCACAATAAATGGATGATCCCAAGCTAGCATTGGTCTATTTGTAGGCATAGGCGAAAAGAAAGAAAATTGCTAGGAAGGGCATGCTTACCTGTGTCCTGCAAAGAAAAATGACTGAGTCCAGGTTGGAAAAGCCAATGGCTTCTGTAACTAAGGAGTGGGAAGCAAAGGCAATTTCTTACAGTGGGTTTTGTTTGTTGTAGTACTGAGGATTGAATCCAGGGCCTGCTAGGCAAGTGCTCCACACTGAGCTACATCCCCAGTCCATTTTCTTTTATTTTATTGCTTTGCTTTATTATATTGTATTTTATTCTATTGTTTTGTTTTAGGTATTTTTGTCTTGTTTTGTTTTATTGTATTGATTTAGTTTATATTTTATTTTATTCATTTTTTATTTTATTTTATTTTTGAGACAAGTTCTCACTAATTTCCCCAGGCTGGCCTCAAATTTGTAATTCCCCTGCCTCAGACTTCTTATTCACTGGGATTACAGTTGTGCATCAACACCATGCTAATAGGTAATAATCTCACAAAAGTGAAAATGAATAAGACTTTGGCCCTATCTCTGAGAGATTTTTCTAAAGCACTTAATACACCCACTCAGTCCTAAATGTGAGGAAAGGAGAAGATAGACAGGTCAAATCACACCATTTATTACTAAAAAATGTTGTATATATTTTCAAAAGGACCACACCTCAATGACTGCCATTCTCTGTCAGAATAAGAAGGACATGACGAGAATGGTTTCTGCTGTGCAAGCTCACGTAAGCGCTGGGAAGGTGTACGTGAGGGTTGTTAGTACAGAGAAGATCTGAAGGTCTCAGTTCTCCTGATGTTTGCACCTGTTCTCTTGGAGGTGAAATTATGTTAAAATTTGACCCAATCCTAATGGTGCAACTTTCCAGCAATCTGTCTGTATCTTTTTCAGGTGATTTTCCAAAGATGTTTACAATTATATTTAATGTACCAAAGTAATTTTAATTTTCATCAAGAGCCATAAATCTCAAAGCCCTACCTTCTACCCAATGCTGATTATCAAAAACATTGACCTTTCAATAAATGTGGATGGAACTGGGACATACTGGAAGACAGCACTCCATCACAGAGGTCTCAGCCATGCTGGGAAGGCAATATTCATAGAGAAAGTCACATCTACAAGCACCCTGCTTGTGTCATTCTTCTGTGGCTAGGCCTGACATCCAGAGCACGTTCTTTGATCATAACATTCTTCTGTGGTGACACGTCTCTTCCCATTCTTTAGGAACCCTGATCCATCCATGTCAATTGGACAGGAATGAAGCTCCTTCTCATCCCAGACTCACTGATATGACCTGAGCCTGGCAATGAGCAGTCACCTCTGGATAGGATTGGCTCACGGACGGAAATACAACCCAAGCTGGACATCCTACTCATTGCTGGGAATTTTGCTGGGTTACTGAAAATGGTCCTTTTCTTCTCTACTGTAATAAACCATAACAACTATGTAAGTCTGGAGCTGCTGGAAACTTATTATTCCTCCCGCACGGAGAGAGCCTCTCAGAGAATGAGGTCAAACCCCAGAGGATTCAAGACAAGATATGGGGTGGGGAGATGAGAGGGAGAAAAAGACCCCCCCCCCAGAGAATAATATTGGTGACAACGTTGAACCACTGGATCTAACAACCATGTCAGGCCTTTCCCTGGGCGGCCAAGATAAATTTAATTTTGGCTTAAAGTACTTTGAGTTTTATTTATATTCGCTGTGTCTATCTTGCTTGGAAGACTTTGCCAAGCAAATCTCAAGGATGATGCCCCTGTGCCCGGCATAAACTACACTTCCATCAACGGGGGATGAAGGGAAGGGGCACAGGGCTGGGACAGGGCACTGAAGGTGAAAAAGCACTTGTGGACAGCCTGATCCAACAGTGTGGGGAGAGTGTATAAAAACCAGCACAAGCCAGAATCCAAATACAACAGCATTAATCCTCATAGTCACACGTCTGTTAGTTCCTACCTTCTGCACAATTCATTTTCCAAAATAGAAAGAACTTCAGGCCATTATCCTGACCTTCAGAATGGGTGCAGAAAAAAAAATTATCCAATCTGTCTTCTAATTACAGATGGAGATTATTCCAGGAACTTCTAGATCATGACACACGTAAGAAGGCAGGGAGCAAGAGAGCCAGAAACACCCAAACTTTCTTAGGACAAGTGGGAACAACTCAGGAAACAAACATTTTCCTTTATGTTGAAAATTAATTGTCACTGCTACGATCCCCAGATGAACTGACAGTCTGGGAGTACCCAGCGCAGGACTTGACACAATACAGAACCAGCCTCAGTGCCCCTGGAGGCCCTTGTCTATGACACTGGCTTAATGAAGCCATAATCCATGCACTTGATGAGACACTCCCGGGCCGTCTGAACCACAGCCGCCTTCTTCTCGTCCGGCTCCTGTTTGCCCACCACGGTCAGGATCTCCAGCAGCTCGCTCTCCACCAGCTTCTTGGCCAGCTCAGCATCGGCTGCCAGCAGGTTATAGGCGATGACCAGGCCCCGGTGTTGGACTGACAGCTGGTCATGCAGGCAAAGCCGCTGCAGGATCTCCAACCACTGGGATGTCTGGAGAGGGCCGAAAAGGGAAGGAAGGAGTCGAGGAATCAGGAGGGAGACAGAGAGAGGAGATTTGGGGACAAGATAAGTAGAAAGCATTGGCCACACTTACAGCCAAGTAACTTAGCTATGGCCACACATCTGGAAATACAGAGGATTAACATCCTCCATCTATTCACATCTTAAGCAACTTGAGAGTAAGAGATAGGCCCACTGCATGTCTGAGCAGAATGGGGATGTGGAGTGGTCAGAAATGAGAATTCTTGGGCTGGGGATATAGCTCCGTTGGTAAAGGGCTTGCCTTCCAAGCACAAGGCCCTGGGTTCAATTCCCAGCACCACAAAAAAAAAAAAAAAAAAAAAAAAGAAAAGAAAAGAAAAGAAAGAAAGTAAAGAAATAAGATTTCTCAATCTGTGTTCATGGGCAATGCCTTCTTCTGCCAAGCCAAGTGCCTTTCACACTACAGCTCCATGCAGGGAGGCATGGCTTTTCCTAGAATCAACACCAGAGTCTGGAGTGAATCCTCTCCTCCATTCTTCCTCAATCCACCATCCACAGTAATGAAGATGTCCAATTACTGTGCATGGGGGAGCAGGACTCTAGACCACTCTGATCACCCTAGGAGACAGTGATAAAGTCTAGAGTAGAACCAGGAGACTGATTCCTTTAGCCTTCAATAGACACACCCCAGGCAGCAGAGCAGAATAGGCATCACATTGGCATGGGTTCTGCAGTCAGAGAATTGGTGTTCTGGTCCTAGCTCAGCATTTATACCATCTACATGGCCTCGGTTAGGCTATTCACCTTCTCTAAGCTTCAGGAGCCTCCCCTGTCTTCTGCTCCACCTTCCTCTAACATCACGCTGAGTAATGAGATGATTCATGGAAAGAGCTTAGCACAGCTAAGCACAGCCCTGGTGACCTGACACCAATCCAGAGGTTTTCATCTGGGCTCCCTCATGCCTTCATCCACCCTTCGTCTGCAGGGATCCCTTCCTGCATGTGCTGCTCTCAGATAGGGAGATGGAGGCAGAGAGAGGAAAAGACAAGTACCTGCCTTTCAAGCTTCTAAGCACATTTTTTGACACACTACACTAGGTCTTCTGCCCCAGGAAAGAAAATGAAAACCCTCTAACTGTGGAAGGTTCAAGGACAGTTTCTATGCTGATGAACATCTGCTAATGGGTCCCCCTGGGATGTTGCTGGGGGATCAAAGGAAAGGATGACAGAAATTCAATCAGAATCCCAGGCAGAAGGATCTGCAGCCTGGCTTCCCTGGGCACAGCCCAGCTGCTGTGAGACCATAGAGATGCCCAGGATTCAATAGGCCCCAGAGTTGTAACAAAGATGGGCCTGGGAAGTCTCATGAGTCCCCCAGCATGTCCATGATGGGACAAGAAGATGGCCAAGAATACTGATCCCCTCGGGAAGAATGAAGAAGTGCCAGGGGTAGGCTGGCAATCCCGAAGGACTCCAGTCCTTCCTAACTAACTGTGCTCTTGGGCTCGTTACGTTCTGTACCTCAGTTTCCTCGTCCAGAAATTAAAGGTAATAATAATACTCACATTACAGAGTTGTTGGGAGGAATAACTGATGCATCTATGTAAAGGCTCAGAGTGACACCTGGCATACAGTAAGTGCCAGGAGACAGACAGCATCCATGGGTATTCCACAGGTGTTCCAGCAGAAGCTTCTCTAATGCAATGGCTTTGAAGTGTGGTCCACAGACCAGAAGCTTCCCAACCCCAATCAACTGAATCAGAACACCTGGGGAAACTGTTTTCACAAGCTGTCCAGGTGATTTTGACACACATTACAGTTTTGAGAGGTTTGCTGTAGGGAAAGAGACTGAAACCCAAAGACCATGCCAATGAGCTACCTCCAGCAGAGAACCTCTGGTGCCACCAGAGCTTAAGCCCTTTAGAACATAGAGAAACACACAGACACACACACACACCTGCACCCATGCACGCACACACATACACACATACCTTAAATCATCTATTTGAAACGCCTGCCTCACCCAGACGTGAGTACACATGACATGAGACGTTCACGTTTTTCACCACCAGCGGGCATGAGTGCACAGGCTCAGTTTGGTCAAACAAGGAGAGCTGCATTTTGCATCCATCTTTGTGTCCACATCAGTCCCATCACACCTGCTGTGGTGGCCCCAGTCCCATCTTAGGAGCTGCTCATCATAGCCACTTTAGGGAACCTGCAGCCTTTTCACCAAACCATAAGCTCCCTGCAGCAGCCCAACCACTCCCATGCTTCTCTGGGGAGCTCAGGAGCCCAGCAGCAGTGAGCATTGCTGGTATTATTGTTATTTTTTTTTTCAGTTCTGGGGATCTAACCCAGGGCCTTAAGCATGCTGGGCGAGTGCTCTACGCTGAGCTATACCGCCAGTCCATTTATTTTTATTAATTTGGAGACAGGGTCTTACAAAGTTGCCAGTGCTGACCTTGAACTTGTGATCATCCTGCTGAGGCAGGAGGCTGAGGCCTCCTGGGTCACTGGGATTCTAGGTGTGCACCATGGTGCCCAGCTGTATTGTTGTGTTCTTAAGTAATGACTTGTATGTACCATGGAAGATAATGGATGAAACTACACAGAGGGGATTTAAGCCAGCATATTCAGGAGGTCCACACAATGACCAGAAGAAGCCAAAGGATACAGACCTCCTCTCCTAAGGCAGGAGGAATAGAAATGGGGACTGGTAGGGATTGCCCTGTGGAATGGCCTCCCCAGAGGATCATCTGGGACAGCGTGGGGAGATTCTCTGGCGCACGCCCAGCCTCTTCCTGTCCCAGGACCCACACTTACCACTTGGGTCATCTTGATGCACAGTTTCTTGTGCGCTGCTGTCAGCATGGCCAGGGCTCCAGCGGCCGCATTCTGTACCTTGTCATCATCCTCCCCACAGAGCAGGACCACCAGCTTCAGCCGGTCATTTCCATCTGCCAGGAACCTCTCCTGAACCTGTGGGAGGCAGGTGCAGGGTTCAGAGACAAATGCCCCCCACCTGTGCCTCCTGGGATGAGGCAGGGGAAGAGGGAAGGGGGCTTGCATCTAAGTCCTCTGACCCAGGATTCCTGGGAGTTTTCCTCCTTCTTCCATCAGCTTGCCCATGCCGCCTCCCCCTGGAAGCCTTCCCTGATTGGTTGGGTGAAATTCCTCCAATTAAAAGGTCAAAGAGAATAAGGGATCCCCCCCACACCCAGCAGGCTGCACCACCTCTGCATTCAACTTGGCACCAGCAAAAGAGGCAGGCAGGACTGCTGGAGGGGCTGATGCCCAAGGAACCTGCTTCATTTCCCCTTGGGAAAGCTTGGAATGATTCTCCCAAGGACTGGGCCTTCCAGGTTTGCTACACAATGAAGTCCCATGTCTGTCCTCTCTGGATGGCTAATAGGCCCTGGTTTCATATCCTGCTTTGCTATGATAATATTCAGGCCTAAGAAGATTGGGAAAATGGTACCTTGCACCTCATCCCGCACAAGCTTTGGAGTGAAAAACCCAGCCTGGAATAACAGGATGTTGTGAATATGTTTTTCTCAGGGCGTCTACAGGGAGAGGGGCTGTAATGTAGGAAAGATTTAGATATTCCTGGGTTCTCTGGTCAAAACGCTAGTTTAGTCTCATCCTAGGAGCCCCTGATCTCACACCAGGCCTGACTGCTGGCTGGACCCTCCCCGCCTGGGTCTCCCCTCACCGCCCCGAGCCCAGTCCTCACTTCCTTGTTGACCACCATGTTGCACATGCACTCTGTGGCCGCCTGCCGCAGCTGGTCATGATTCTCAAACATGTAGTTCTCAATGTCCAGCAAGGCCTTCACCTTGAAGATCTTCTGTCTGGGGCGAGAGGGTGGAGGAAGAGAGGCCCTGAGTGCTTGGTAGTGAACATGCGGGGATTTGGCCAATCCGGGGCCATTCCTCCATCCTAATGGTGTCCCTCCCACACCATCAGCCAGCTGGGTGGCATGGAACCTGCTGCTCCTGGCTCCAGGAGGGGCACCAGTGGGTATAAAGTAAATGGCCTAGCATCCTGGGCACGGCCGCGCCCTGGGAGGAACACGCCACCCCACTATTGAGATCCCTTTTGCTAGTCCTTGGGCTTCGCACAGTCTCTGTGGTCTTTCCTTCCTCCCACTCAAACCCCTCCCGCTGTGGTTCTACCCAGTGCCTCTGATGCTGTCCTCTGAGCACAGCAGCTTGAGCACATGACCTGTGAAATTCCAACCCAACTTTTTGGGGCACCTCTCCCCACCCCTGCCCTTTCCACCCCACCCCACTCACCGGAGTTTGTCACTCCGCCCAGACAGGTTTGTGAGGCCCAGGAGAGCCTCGTAGTTCTGCAGCCCATCCCTCTGCGTGTCCAGGAGACCCACAAGGTGCCGCACCACCTCACAGACCTGTGGGGAGAGGTTGCGGATCAGGTGGGGCAAGGGCCACATCTCCCTCCATTCTCTACTTTTATAGGTGGCCAGCCTTAAATTTCCAAAGCACTTTCCCACACGTCTTGTCGGACCTCATCTGCACAGTGATCCTCAGAGGCAGGAATGTTGCCTTTACTTTGTAAATGAGATGACTGAATTTCTGAGGGGACGGTCCTGAATGTCACAGGCACAGCCAGGCCAGGCATCCAGGAGAATCATCACCCACCCTGAGACAGCACCAGGTCCCTCTCCCAGGTTGGGGTGATGAGAGCACGGGAGACTCCTCCCACTGCCCCACCCCACTCATCCCAAATACCCACCCGCTCACCAGGGAAGGCGATGTCCCGGTTAGAGACAGCTGCGATCTTGGCCAGAGCATGGGCCGCCTTCACCTTGCCCATATCCGTGCCCTCCAAAGCCAGCGGGATCAGGGCCTGCAAGAAATGGCACAGTCACCTAGGCCACAGATCCAGAGTCCTCTTCCATCTTCCCACCCCAGCTGCTGTCTCTCTGTCCCATCAAAGGTTCACGGAGACTCTGCAACATAATCAGCGCTTGAGCATCATGGAAAGCAACTACTCAGCCATAGATTCACTCCCGTGGGTCCCAATCATCAAGGTCTTCAACTCCACTTCTGCCCACCCATCCACAGGTTCCTTCAATTTTTGGAGAAAAAATAAATGGATTCCTTACTGTCTAAGCCATGCCTAATCATAACAGCAGACACTTATTGAGCACCTATGGTGCGCTTTACATGTATTTTATGCAATCCTGGTGACATTATGAAATGTGAGTGTGTGGTTCCTGCCTCCATTTTACAGATGAAGAAATTGTGGCTCAGTGAGAGTAAGCATCTGCCCCAGGTAACACAGCAAGAATCAACTCTAGTCTACAGGAAAGTCCACAGTCTCCATCTTTGTACCAGGCTTCCTTCCAATAGCAAGGAAGATAAAGACATTCCAAAGGACATCCATGGCACCAGCCAATCAAGCAGAAATTGGTTTGGGGCCATGAGCACAAACAGTGCAAATAACTGAGTTGCCGTATTCGAGGAGGTTGGGTTGAGTTGGGGATGCAGGATTCTTGGGCCAGGTTAGGGGTACATGAGCACACCCACACAAGTACACACACACACACACACACACACACACGCAGTCTGTATGCTCCTGTGAAGCAGATCACCTTCTAGGAAAGCAAAGACTTTATCCTGACCCATTACCTTGCCACCACCTTGAGCCACAATGGTGCCTCGGTCCTTTGGGTTGTCACACAGCGCCAGGAACACCCTGCAGGGCCAAGGATAAAGGAGAGCATTTGAACTGCCAGAAGCCTCTCCCATCGCAGACCAGCAGCCAGAGCCCAGGAAGCCCCAGGGTGAACAGGGAAAGCCCGGAGAGTGCACCCCGTGTGCTCCTGCCCCACAATGCACGATGAGCCACCTTGGGAAGACGCTGTGATGATGTTAAGTGGCACGGAAGAAAGTGAGGCCAAGCAAGGCTGCAAAGAGCCACCCCACTCCTGCTTATGGGCACTGCCAGGGGCTCCTTGGTGCCCTGCCCCTTGCCACCCAAGAGAAACTCCACCTCCTTGGTCTCCTAATTCCCTGTGAGCAAGATTCCCTCCTGGGCCTCCATGCTCTAGAGGAATCTCCTCTGTCCTTGGTGTCTCTGCAGATGCTGTTTCCAGGCCTGAAGCCTTTCCCACCCCCGCTTCTTCCATCAGGGCTCAGCTGTCACCTCCACCAGGCCTTCCTGGCTGCCGAGCCCTGGCCCTCCAGTCTGGCTGCTTGGGTGCCATTGTTCATGTCCCCACCCGCTGTGCCTCCCCACAGGGCACCTGTTGCACTGGACCTGATCATGCCCAGTAGGCTGCACTTTGTGCCTTTGATCTCTGGGAACAAGGCAACCAGAATGAACACCTTCCGACACAAGCTTCCCCCTGTCACATCTGCCCCATCATGTCATTTTCATTGTTGGTCCCCTTAAGTCTCTAGGACACCCAGTGGCTCACTCAGTCCCTCATGTAGGCCCCCACCATTTCCATCTCCCTGTCCAGCCTCCTGCCCTCCAGTCCCCTCGGGCCCAGCCCCTGGCCCCCTGCAGTGGCACCTGGCCAGCAGCTCCTTGGTCTGGTCAGTGAGGATGGCACTGTCTGCTCTCACCATGCAGGAGAGAGCGGAGATGACACCTGCCTTCAGGAGCCTCTTCACCCGCATGTCCACAAAGTCCTTCTTGTCCTGGGGGATGGGAGAGTTGGCAATGGAGAAGGGGCCTGGGCACCAGGCAGATCTGTACTGGAACTTCAGATGGTACGTTTCTGACTTCTTAGGGTAGGCTCACTAATGGCCCTCCCAGATGACCACAGCCCAATCCCTAGAACCTGAGAATGTGTAACCTCACATGTCAAAAGGGACTTTGCCAAGATGATCAAGTGAAGGAACTGGGGAAGGGGAGATAATCCTATATAATGTAGGTAGGCCCCAAATAATCATGATGCAACCACAGCACAGTAAGCTCAGGGTTAATACTAGGAGGTGTGAAAACAGAAAGGTTAAAATGATTCAAGGTCCCAACCAAAGAATGTAGGTGGCCTCTAGAAGTTGAAAAAGTCAAGAATAAGATTCTCCCCTAGAGACTCCAGAAGGAGCCAACCCTGCAGACCCCTGGACTTCAGCCCAGGGGGACAGATGCTCTGACTTCCGGCCTCCAGAGCTGTAAGATAACAAACGTGGTTTTCAGGCCACTGTGTTTGCGGCGAGGTGTTAGAGAAGCAAAAGGAAGTAACGCACTTCTCTAGGTTCCCTTTGCCGAAACAACGACCATCAGGTAAGAACTTCTTCTCTGCTTTGCCCAACCTACTCCCAGCACAGAGCCTGCCGAGCTGATGCTGTAAGAAAATCAACGTCAAAGACTCAACTCTTTCTCAGAGGAGTGAAGTGAAAAGGGGATGATCCCAAGCACTAGATGACACATACAGTGACTTTCTTGCAAAAGGTTGGCTTTCCATTGGGGGACGGGGAGGGGGATATAGACAGGAGTAAATGGGGACAGCAGGTGAAGCTGACAGCCATGGAGTGGGCTTTGCTGGAAACCCAAAGTCAACCCCAGGTTGGTCCTTGGAATGGGGATTGGCGGGGAAGAGATGAACATCATGTGACACCTCTAGGCACAGGGGACCTTCACAGCAGCAGAACACGCTGTGCACCCTTGCCTGGGTGAAGTGCACCTGCAACTTTTAAAAACAGTTCAGAGAATGGGAGGCCATGTGCAAAATACACAAAGTATCTTGTTCTCAAGTCTCTTATATAGAATGACATAATATTGTCATGTAACCAACCCACATCACACCATATGCTTTTAATTTTTCTTGGTGTGTTACAATTATACACAACAGTGGGATTCACTGTGACACATTCATACATGCGCATGGCATAATGTGGTCAATTTAGTTCCCTAGAACCTTCCTTTTCCCTCCCTTCCTTCTTCCTCCTGGTCCCCTTCTTCCTCTTACTAGTCTCCCTTCTATTTTCATGAGATCCCCCCCTTTTCCTCCTTTTTTTTTCTCTCTCTACTTTCCACAAATGAAAGAAAACATATGACCTTTGACAAAATAAGTTTGACTTATTTGATTAACATAGTGCTCTCAAGTTCCATCCATTTTCCTGTAATTGACATGATTTTGTTCTTCTTTATGGCTGAAGATACTCCTTTGCATGTATATACATTTTCTTTATCCGTTCATCTGTTGACAGACACCTAGGCTGGGTCCATAACTTGGCTACTGTGAATCGTGTTGCTATAAACCTGGGTATGCATGTATCCCAAGAGTATGGTTTCACTGGGTCATATGGTAGTCCCATTCCTAGATTTTTAAGGAACATCATACTGATCTCCACAGTGATTGTACTCATTTACAATCACACACAGTGTGAGTGTTCCTTTCCCCCCAACAAATTATCTTTCCAAAATCAGACAAAATGATAACTACATTCTGATTATAACTATAGGAAGAAAAAAAATCCCACTATTATGTATATGTATATCGTGTCAATAAAAATTTAAATAGAGTTTAATTTTTTTAAAAAAAGAAAAAAGATGCACAGAAAAACCACAGTTTTATCTGGTGGGTAGCACAACATACTAAAATGCCAACGGTGGTCATAGGGACACATTATGAGCAGTGGTTATTTTCTCTATTGCACACTTTTGTTGGTTTTGTAGTGGCACCTCCTCCTCCACAAAAAAAGAATCTTACCGAAGCTTCTCCAGAAATCTTCACCATAATTGATTTTAAGACTATAAGCAAAGGAGTCTCTACAAAAAAAAAGTTCAATGTAGTTAAACTTCCTATTTTCCTGTTGCTGTATTATACTTGGCCACTGCCCAGGAAGAAATCAGCACTCCAGGTGCTGAATGCCCTTTTACTTGTTTTTCATAAATATGTATCCAGTGTAGTAGTTTGTAGAAGTGTGTTTGCAAAGTGTGATTTAAAAAAAAAAAAGACAAATTCTTTATCAAGGCCTCTGGCCTTGAGCTGAGTTCACAGAGATGTCTACGTTTTTGAAATAAGAGAAGTTTCCAATTGGGCTCCATGGTAACAGCTGGCAGGGGGAGGAAAGAAAGGGGAGAAGAAGTTCTCCCCTTCTCAGGTGTTGTCCTTGAAGGGTTAACTTGCCCAGAACAGTGAAAGAAAAAGCTGCTTTTATGTGAACTTATGCAGTCTGTGAATTTCTGAGCCCGTTCACTTACATTCTGGTTATAAAATTCTAAAACTACCTGAACTCGGGGGTTCAGGGAATGAATTGATTACAGCAAAAGCTGTGCCCTCTGAACCTGGCTGCAGCCAAATAAAACTGTTTCCTGCTATCTTCCTACAACAGTCTTGCAACCTAGGATTATCACCTTGATCATTTAAAAAATCTAAATTATTTTATTGGCTGGGAATATTTCTGTATGTATTTATATGCAAATAACATGTAAATCATATTCTTGTATTAGGCTCCCAAGGAGATTTGTGACACCTGGGCTCATGCTGACCCCATCCCTCCTCTCATTATTCATAAACACCCATCCCCAAATCCAGATATCCCAGAAAATCAAATCTTTATAAGTCTTGGAAGTATGATATAAAGCTGTCTCATATCTATGAAATCAACAACATAAAATCAATCCCCAGGACCTTCCCTTGCCCTCCCCTCCTCCTTCCTCGGGGCCCCCTTCCTCTCCTTACTTGTCTCTCTCCTATTTTCATGAGGTCCCACCTACTTTTTCCCTTTTAGTCCTCTCTAGATTCCACATATGAAAACCATGTTCATCCAGGCTCTGTGTCAAATTAAACTCTAAAACTTGTTTTTTCTCCCAAGACAGAAAACAAAGGAAAAGCATGAGGGCCATCTGGTGGAGAAACTTACCATTATCATCCTCATCAGTATTTTATCCCAAATCCTCCCAAACACATTCCACACAGCTGCCTGCACCCCGGGTTTTCCCATTCCACCTGTTTGGGAGGTCTGGGGGCACAGTCCCCCCTCCAGGGGCATCCTGTACCCACCTTGGGGTGCTCCTCAGGCACGTGCTGCTTGGAGAACTTGGCCAGCTGCACCAGCTCGGGGATGACCTCCTTGACATCATAGCTGTTGGTGCAGTTCACCAGTGTGGTGGCCACTGAGTACAGAATGGTCTTGTCACTGGTCTGCAGACACCGGGTTAGGGGGGAAGGCAGAAAGGAACTTTGGAACCGGACTCTGCTTCCAAGACAGCTCCCTGACATGGTGAGCAAATTGGCTTGGAAGGAGTGTGGCTGGTGGGGCTCGGCTTGGAGAAGTACAGGTGGCACAGGAGGGGAACCGGCTCTGCTCTTAGAGGGTGGCAGAAATGCCTCCTGAACCCCCAGCAGCACCACAACAGTAGGCCAGTGGCTTCTCACCCAGCACCTTGCTTGGTGCCTTTCAAAAGCCCAGCGCACTCACATCCCACTACCTGGAGTGGGCACTTGGGTGGGAGCTGGAGCTCTGCTCTGGCTCTACTGGAAATCCTTCCCGCACTTCCAGAGGGAGTGAAGCACTGCCCCAAGTCCCTCGGGACCTCCTCACTCATGGCCATGGGCAAATATGCCATCTTCCTGTTAATACTCCCTCTGCCTGGAAGGCACGTGGATTCACTTTCAGCCAGGTAAGATGAGGGACAGAAAGAGGGAAATGGCCCACCAGATTTACAGGAGGGCTGGAAGACCCTGAATCCGGTAGACCTTCCCCGACGTTGGAGGTCAGGGCCACACTTGCCTTCGCCAGCTCAAACATGGCCTGCAGAGCCGGATGTCCTGGACAAAGTCGTCCTTCACATCAGCATCCAGGGTGAGGTAGGCCAGGCCCTCCACCGCCCAGCGCCGGGTGCGGGTGTCTATGGCTGCATTGCACAGCCACCTGGAAGTGGGGAGGGAGAGCTGCTGGGGAAGGTGACAGGGCTCCAGTAAAGAGTGAAGCGACCTCAGGGTGATGGAGAGCAGGTGAGGGGCCTTTCCCCACCCACCGGAGTGCAGCCCAGAGGGCCCTACACAGAAGCCCATGAGGAGGGGCTGGAAATGACCCTCTTACTTGCGACACTGCTTGGCCAGCTTCTCTGTGGATCCTTCAGCAAACTGCCTGAGACCATAGTCTGTGCCCCCTGCAGAGCCGAGCTTGCAGAGGCCCTGTGGAGGGGCAGACACATGCGGGATCAGGGACATGGTTTGGGGACAGGCCTTGCTCTAATAAGTCCCTGTGGCCAGAAAACCTCACAGGTAGTTTGAAAAATCCACATGAGAGGATGGTAACCATGTGCAACTGCAGTGGGCAGCCTAGTTAGGGCACAAAAAACTGCAGGAAAGTCATGTCATATGAGGGACCAATTCAAATGTGCAAAATGTAACCCAGGGAAAATTAAACTCTTGTAGGAAAAAAAAAATCTTCCATATAAAGAAAGTCACTACATCAGAGGCAAAGATCAGTTTAAAAAAAATTGATGTGAATAAGAAATTACTCCAATTTTTTGTGTAATTGTTCACAAGATAAAGAAGAGACCCATGGAAGTAATTTCAGTAAAATGAAAATGGAAGAAAGGAAACAGGCTTAACTGCCACACACACGCTGGTTGAGGAAACTGGCTTTTTAGCGTTCATTCTGAAAATGATTTCTGGACAAAACTCATAAGGAAAACATGGCCAGGGTTAAATGCAGGGCCTGCCATTCTGAATCTCTGTCCCCATGTCACTTTGCTCTGCAGGTGCCCATAGGGGTGCTCTGCATTCTCCTCTAGAATGGAGAGACCCCTCGTTCCTCCTGGGGTGCTCGATGCTCAGCACGGTGGCTGGTCTTGGGCAGGTGGTGCCCAGCCTACTCACCACCAGTGTGCGGATCTTGATCTTCTCATTCTTGGTGGTCTTGTAGATGCTTTTGAGCAATGACACACCATTGGTGATGATGAAGGTGGCGCGGCTGAGCTTGGTGGAGGCGTGGATGAGGACCTCCACGGCCACCAGCTGGTCAGCCTCGCGCTCTGAGCCACACAGCGCCACCATCATCTCCATGACGCCTTTCATTCCCAGTAGCTGATTGCCCAGGTCAAAGGGCCCCTGAAGGATCCCAGACACTGTCTGAATGGCATTCACATTCTTGTCCATGTCCTGGGGGTCAAACTTGCCCCTAAAACAGAGGGTGAGGATTGTCAAGGTAACAGGTTCAAGAGGATAGAAAGAGTGAGATGTGGAGGCAGAAAGATTTGGATTTGCATCCTGATTCTACCGCTCATGTGCTGTGTGACACTGGGCAATTCGCTGAACCTCTCGAGCTTCCGATTCTTGATGGGTAAACTGAGGATAGTAGAAGTCATACTAAGGAAGCTGCACTGGGTAGACGGAGGCATCAGGCTGCAATGCAATCACCACAAAGCCTCAGCCAGGGAAGACTCTGGAGTTTGGACAACCAGCAAAGCTATTTTAACTTGGCATGAGGGACTGGGCCTCCAGCCCAGAGTCCACAGCACAGCACAGCATCTGGAGGGACAGATGGCACCCACGGCCACAGGGGCCAGAGGACCTAGCAAGGTGCCTGTGCACTGGATGGCTTGGCATCACATCTCAGCCCCTTCCTCTGTCAAGTGAGGGGGTGGAACTCAACTTGGGATCTCATGGGAGGCTCTGGAGTGAGCGGGAAAAGCTGAAGCTCTGTAGGAAAAGCCAAGGTCACCGTGAGGAGCTCTAAGAGAACCAAAGTCGGGGTTCAGCAGAAGCCGTAGGAGAGATCAGGGGCTGGCAGATCCAGGGGGTAGAGAAGCATTTTTGTATTTTAAAGGGTTTTTTTTTTTAATAGATAGGGCTGGGGTTGTGGCTCAGAGATAGAGTGCTCGCCTAGCAAGCGTGAGGCACCACATAAAATTAAAATAAAAATATTGTGTCCACCTATAATTAAAGAATAAATTTTTTTAAAAAAATAGATAAGCCAGGCATGGAGGTGAGTGCCTATAATCCCAGCTACTTGGGAGGCTGAGGACGGAAGTTCAAGACCAGCCTCAGGGACTTAGCTGTATGGAAATTAAAAAAAATAAATAAAAACAGGCTGGAAATATAGACTAATGGTAGAGCCCCCCCTGGGTTTCATCTCCAGTGCTACAAAAATAATAATAGTAATAATAATATTTTTAAAAATAATTAAAAAGAGAAATATATGTCTGTTCTTCTCTGGTCATTTACAGAAACAGTTTGCAGACCCTGGGAAGAGAGAAAGGAGAAGCACAGTAAAGGCAGCGTCTTCACCACCTGAGCCTCACCTGGCTCAGTCCTGGCTTCCTGACCACACCCCCACGACTGAGCCACAGGTATGTCCCAGAAATCTGAGCAGTTTACCAGGAAAATCACTGCAACAGTTCAAAGGTCACATGGCAGTAGGAGGAGGAGGGAGAGGACACATAAGGACAGACAGAGACCCAGATAGAGCATCTGAGATGAGGGAGCAGCAGGGAGAAGACCCAGCACACTCAGCTTCAGAGGGCCCGACCTGTCTCTAAAGCCACCCATTCTTAAAGTCTCCCCAGAGCCGGCCTCCCGCCTAACAGCCCATGGGTGTTCCTCCCAACCACAGGAGACTGAGGTGGGTTTAAAATATGCCCAGTGTTTTTTGTTTTCAGTGCTGAGGATTGAACCCAAGGCCTCATGCGTACTAGGTAGGCCGCCCTACCATGGAGCCACGTCCCCAACCCGTTTCCAGAAATATACTGACACCCCTCCCTTCCAAAGGTGGAATGTAATTCTCTTCCCTTAACCCATCTTGTGGCATTGTCCCAGATGTAGAATACCTATAAAAACTTTAATATAGTATATAATATCATTATGCAATATATAATAATAATACTATAATGTCACAATTATTATATTTATTAATATAATCTAGATATAGGCTCTACATAATGATTTCCACCTATTTCAATTCACCTGTATTAATTTTGTGGCAAGATTTGCAGAATCGACAACCTGGGACTGAATCTGGGTCAAGGCCAGATTGGGGACTTGCTCCTAATGATAGTACGAGTGATGGTGTGCAGCTGCTGAGGCTGGTGTGAAAGAGACACTGCCCTCCTCCCTGCTCTACCCTGGATCATCACTCAGGGAAGCAGCTGCCATGGTGAGGACTCTTCTGCAGCCTGTGGAGAAGTCCACATGGGGAGGAACTGAGGCCTCCCACCAACAGCCAGCACCAGCATGCCAATCAGGTGAGTGCGCCATCTTGGAAGTCCAGTCAAGCCTTTGGATGGCTGCAGCCCAGGCCAACTTAGTATTGTAACTTCAAGAGAGACTCTGAGCCAGAACCACCCACCCAGGAGACTCACGTGATATACTCCTCACAGATCTTTCGGAAATGATCACGCTCCGGATCACATCGCAGGTCATTGTAGAGCTTGTTAATGAGGATGGAGGCCAGCATGCGGGTGTTGTCAGTCAGGGGCAGGCAGGAGGGCAGATCTGGAACCTGCCCCACTACCTTCAGAATCTTCCTCAGGCCTGCAGGGGGACAGGGGCAAGAGTGAGATTCCTGCTGGGCTCTGTCCTCAGGAACATACCCCTGACTAAGCAATGTCCTGTCTCTAGCTTCGCTCCAACCCTGCCTTTAGATAGGAGAGCCTAGGGCGCCAGAGTGGGGACAAGAGACCCAGGTCCTCCACCTGGCTCTGCCCCTACCTTGAGTGATCCACCATTCTCTGTGGGCCTCCATTTTCACCTTTTCAAAATCATGATGAGTTGATCTCAGAGGACTCTACCAGTGCTAACATTCCATGAGTAGACACGCAGTCTTCCTCACATACTATTTTATCTTCTCTTTTCTCTAGGCCACAGTTTCTTAAATTGTGAAAATGGACATAATACTACCTACCTTATAGAGCTTGAGGACTCAATAAGAAAATAATAAGCAGAAATAGCCTGGTGCCCATCTGAGACATAATTGTCACTCAATAAAAGTCCATTATATATTTAGGCAATACTGTATTTCTTATTATTATTATTATCTTTGGGTGGAGATTTTTTTTTTTGTACCAGGGATTGAACTTAAAAGTACTCAACCACTGAGCCACATCCCCAGCCCTATTTTGTATTTTATTTAGAGACAGGGTCTCACTGAGTTGCTTAGTACCTCACTGTTGCTGAAGCCGGCTTGGAACTGGTGACACCCCTGTCTCAGCCTCCCAAGGTGCTGGAAATACAGGTGTGCATCACCGTGCCCACCTGGGTAGAGATTCTTAAGTGACTTCCTCCATCAGACTAGTTTAATAGTCACGTAGTTGTGGAATAAGTGAAGGATTAAATGTGTACCTTTAGGTCCTGCCTTCAAAGCAGTATGGAAAGCAACATACAACACTGAAGGAAGGTATGATACTGGGTGATTACACCACGGATGGGACAATTAGCTTCAAGAAGACTTGCAAGTTAGTTTGAGCATCTGCTGTATGCCAAGGTGTGCCTGATTTTATCCTAACTGAAACCTCCTGGTAAGGAATCATTATTCTGATCTTTCGGAGCAGAAAGTCAAGACTTAGAGAATCCAAGGCAGTCACCCAAAATCATGGCAAGAGATGTAGAGAGGATGCTCTCCCCATGATCTCTGATGTCAAACAGTATCCCTGCCTTTGACCGCTAGGCTATGCTGCCTCTGAGACAACAGACAGCTTGATCCCAGGGTCAGGCTTTAGAGGTGGCTGGGAGTTGGCCAGCCCTTGGGTGGTATATGGATGTGGAAAGAACACACAGGGTAAATATGGGAAGTATGAAACTCTGAGTGTTAAGAAGGAATTTTAAACACTTAGCTGCAATTTTGTGCTCTGTGTATTTTATCGCTTTAAGGAAAACTTCAGTGGCCTCTCTATTACTCCTCTTAGTTCTTCACATCTGATGTGAGCTGGGTGTCCTACAACTCAGTTCAACTTGGACACTCTCTACCTGGGGTTAACACTGACCCAGAGGCTGAGGGCTCAGGCCTACAATCTGCCTCTACTTCAGATGCTGTTCCAGGTTTCCCACAACTTCTGTGCAAACTGGCTACAAATAACTTAGTCCCCTCCCTAAGTTCTAAAACTTACTAGAAGAGCTCACAGAAATCAGGAAAATAATTTGCCTACTATATTTTCAGCTTTATTATGAAAGCTGCAATCAGGAAGAGCCAAATGGAAGACACACACAGGGGGAGGTCTGGGGAAGGGGTGTGGCACCCCCCAGCCCTCTCCAGGGGCACTACCCTCCCAGCACCTCCAAGTCTTCGCCAAGCTGGAAGCTCTCAGAACCCTTCAGTTAGAGCCTTTTATATGGGGGCTCCATGATGTAGACATGATCAATCAAGTCACTGGTCATTAGTGATTAACTCCACCTCTGGCCCTCTCCCCTCACCTCGCAGAGGTCAGAGGTGGGATAGGGGTTGAGGGATGGGACAGAAAGTCCCAAGCCTCTAATCACACAGTTGGCTCCCCTGGCAACCTGCGCTCCTTGTCCTGAGTCTATCCAGATCTCAAGCCACTAGCCATCTCATTAGCACAAGAGGACACTTATCACTTTGAAGATTCCAACTGGTTTAGGAAACAGGTGCAGATGCCTGTTTATTTATTTATACCTGTTTATTTATGACATATATTTATTATGTCACAACCAAACACAAAAAAGTGCTTGGCAGGACTGAAAGGGGCCCAAAGAAGCAACCCAACCTGGCTCCCAAAGACACCTGCTCCACTTCCCATCACCTCCCCAATCTCATCTCCTGGCTTCCATCCTGCCTGGGCCTTGAGCACCTCATTCCTCTTCTATTAGAACCCCAGACACCTCTTTGACAGTCTTCACCCCTCCCCTGGCCAAGAGCTCACTTCAGGTTTGATCTAAGGGAAGCTTTGCTCCGCCCCAGTTTGCATTACACATGGAGCTCAACGCTGCAGCTTTGAATTAGTGTATCAGAATTTTTAAATCCACTGTATTGTAACCCGAGTGCTATTCATTCTGGTGCTCTTCAATAAAAGAACAGAATAAAAAACATTGCTCCCCACCTTGTCCCACCCTATAGTCCATGTGGTTGACCCTAGATCCCAGTGCAGAGAGAAGTGACTGCTGATGTCCCACTTAAATATAAGCAGAGAAGACCAGAACTGGGGGAAAATAGCATAGAGGGCCAGCCTCAAGCACTACAGCGACTTGTGATCTGTAAGGTCTAAGCAACTGCATGTGCACTTCACTGAGATCTATGAAAATCAAACAAGAGAAGTGAAATATTGAAAGATAAATTTCACCCCCAGAGAGGTTGACTTGAACCTTTTAGAACCAGGCATACTCTCTATGTCATAAAACCCGTGAGAGAATGAGAGCAGATTAGAAAGCCACAGATATGATTCCTGAGCAATTAAAGAAGCCGGTTAAGGGGAGAGGTGAACCTGGATCTGATGAATTTAGTCACCATCTGCTAGAAAACCTCTCCTGCTTTCTGCTCCATGCCAAGTGCCCTGGTGTCTACCCAAAAGGCCATGTAAGCCCCAGACCCTCCCATCTCCTCACCATTGTCCACCACATAGATGGTGCGGGAGTTGTCATGAATGGCGAGGTCCTTCCTGGGAACATTCTTATTGAGCAGGTTCAGCGCCTGGTCCCTGCCCTGGCCAGACACCTTCTTACTGACCAGCATGTCAAGCAAGTGACTGGTGATCTGCTTCAGGTCCTTTTTGGTGTCTGAGGAACAAGAGGATAGAGGTCAATAGCAAGGAGTAGAATGTCTCAGATCAAATCAGGAATGGTAGAAGCTTTCTAGAAGGACTCTGGAAATATGAAATCCACTGCTTTCTGGATGTGTGAATGTCCTAGGAGACTATAATGTTGTCTATATCACACCCCCCAAAAATAAAGAAATCCCTCATCAACACCCCCAGGGTTCTTAGCCACTTAGTCACGGTAAACAGCAGTAACAGATTGGAGATTCCACTGAGATCCTACCAAGGTAAGCTCCTCCCCATGCACCCCACATCTGTCTGAGGTGCATCTTTCTCTCTTTCTGGAAGATGGCATGGGTACCCAATGGCTACTTAAACGCAGCTAGGGCAGCCTCCACTCTTCAAGACTCGGGTCAAAGTTTTCTCAGCCGAGACAGTGTTAGACCAGGTCGCAAAGAAAAGACCAATGACTCCAATTAAAATCAAATTAAAGCAAGCTTATTATTTCGACCGGCCGGGCTGCCTCTCCTACCCAAAAACCGTGGGAACAAGACAGCCCCTCAGCTTTCTTGTAGCCCAGCTTTATAGCCCAGAAGGTTACACAAAGTGGGGTGTTATGCTCGAATTTGGGACCCCCAGAAGACCACCAGAGACCAAGATCGATGTAAGCAGCAAAGAGGTCTTTATTGCAAGCTAGCTCGGTCCTCCGTGTGCACACAGCAACTGGTGACGCTGAGAGGCCCGAGCCCAGGGTTTGCAGCAGTTTTATACACTCTTTGGGGAAGGCAGGGACTTCACATATATCATAGCATCTCTTAGCAAGTCATCACACACTGCAGGAAAATCATAAAACAACTCTAAAACATGATTCGCACATTCACTGGCGGGAACAAGTTGGGTAAGGGTGATTGATTAGTACCAGAGGGGGATTCATTTGAACTGATTGGTTTAAGACACGAGGGGAGTAGTGCTGAACTACATGGTTTCCCAACAGGATTATCAACCACCATAAACTACTGGGAGGGTCATCTGGCATCCCAGGTATTTTCCCAGTCTCAAGCTGATTGGTGGTTGCTAGGGGTTGTTATGGGTCCTCACCTAGCCTGACTGAGTCAGGGACACCTGGCTCCGCAGATCTCTCTTGTTATTGTAGATAAACAACTCAGCAGGGTGGGAATGTGCCTAGGAGTGCTCTGTGGGTCATTCCTAGGAGAAGGGTCACGCCCCCTTCCTTGGACAGGCTTTGCTCTAAGGTAGAGGCTGGTTTTTCAGGGTTTACAGATTCTGACGAGCATAACACAAATGCTAGTTTATATTTTTGCTGGCCCAACATCAGAATTTATGAAGGTCATTAGAGCCTCAGAGAGGTTTGTTATCTGGCTAGGGAAGGCCAAGATTTATAAGGCATCACTAAAGTTTCAGAGAGGGTTGCTATCTGGTCAGGGAAAGCCAGGCATGGGTTAGTTCCAAGGCACAGGCAGGCATTCCAAGCTAGTTCAGAATTTGCAGTAATTTATAGTAAAGCCGAAATTAGCTTTTCATGTCTTTGTGGCAAGATGGCTCCCAATTTTAAGAGGTAATCAGGCTGGGTCTGTCAGTAGCTCTCAATCACCTGTTTGATATGGAGCAGGCATGTTGGGTTCTGCCAAAGCTGAGGAGGAGAGCAATTGGCATTGAGTACATAGTGTCCCTAGTCCCCATCTGCCTTGGATGCGTGGAGGTAGAGGAAGGAGTTTGGTTCCTTTCTCTTGAACCCCCTCCCAACAGCCCTAAGGGGTATCTAGGGTGATCAGTAGATGAATAGCACTGAGGGAAAGCCCCAATTACTTTTGCCTCTATGTGGGCCACTCTCAACCACGCATCCATTCTCTCCTGGATGCTCCCCTTCCTTTGCGGGTCAGAAACACTAGCAATTAAGATTGTAGGACTAAGAGAGACATGGGATGATTAGTAAGAAGGTGCCCAGGTTCCCCTCATGCTGATGAAGGCATTCCTGCACCCCCTGTCTGACAGGGTCACAGCAGGGGGGATGCTGTGGCAGGGCCGCACCATCTGGAAACCAGAATCATAGGAAATGTTAAGTGTTTTGTTTATAATACTCATGATATGGATAATAGGGCATATGTCAGTCAATAATAAAAGTACATGTTGCCTGAGATTGCAGGAAAATTCCCAGAATGAGGAGACTAAGGATATAATTAAGACATGCCACAAGGTGTGTTTCAGTGTCTCTCAGGATACAAACAATAGTGTTATTCCTCAAGAAATTCATGGGAAAAAGATTGTGAAAAGCACAACAATTTACATTAAGCCCCCCCACCATCCCCCCCATTCTAAAGCCTCAATCTGTGCAACATATACTCCCCCCCACCAACAGCCCCTCCTTTGCCTTACACAGGAATTCATGATGAGAATGGAAAACACAGTTAATATAAATGACAAATGGGTTGAGGTGCAAAGCCTGTCCTTTAGTTAAAGATTACAAAGACAAAAGAATTGGTGTGCTTTGACCAAGGATCAAGGAAGCTCTTTAAGAAAGCAGATAAATAGGTCATATGAAAAAAGGAAATTACCTTGGAAACTAAAAATAAAATAATGTAAGATTAATATAGATATATTTTAGAGGCACTTCAGAGTAGTAGGCTTTTTAAGTAATGGACTTTCACTATTTTAAGTGTGTTTTATTGGGATTTTAGTTTAGAAGTAAGAAAGCTTTCCAATAATCAAAGATATGTTTTAAGGTTAAAGGTTAATGAAATAATTATAGGTATGCTAAAGTTAAAAGTGAATAATAGGTCAGGAGACACCGTAGTCTAGTTGCATAGTCTAGCACCTAGTGATTGAGGTAAAAATGTAAAAGCTTAATCATGATTGGCTAAGGTTACAGGAAAATATTTTAAACAATGTACTCAATATCTTAGGTAATCAATATATGTCAGAAAAGATTGTAACTCTTGAAAATCATGTAAATCAAAGAAGTTTTGGGCTTTGAGGCTATCCATTAACTACCTAAAAAAATACCTGTAAAAAAGGTATAAAAATAAAGGCCCCTCTAGGGGCAGCAGATTTTTTCTGGAGGCTGTTCATAACTTGCAACCTGTCTTCCAGTCTCTCTGACGCCACTCCTCCTTCAGGACCCTGGATCCCCCACTGGGGCCGGCCATAGGTAAGTTTCACTAGTCTGTTTAAAATTTCCCCATTACCATTCCGATGCTTAAAATATGCTGTGTTCTCTTTAAGCTACCAGAGGGAGGCATTTAAGTCTGAATCCTCCGAGGGTCTCTGGCACAGGGCAAACTGGGACCCTAGCACTTTCTCAAAAGGGGGCCAGAAACAACCTTGGCAAAGTGAGATGAGAGATAAGTTTTCTGGACCATAAAGAAGCTCAAGCTTAGGGAGATGTCCCTAATAGGAACAGTTTTCTCCCGCACGGGTGCCTGAATCCTGTTTTTTTTTTTTCTCTTCTCACTCAGATGGGAGCTTCTCTCTCCAGTGTGCCAGGTGCACCACTCACCTGCATATTGAAAAACTGGGATCAATTTGACCCACAGACGCTCAAGAAAAAGCGCCTCATTTTCTTCTGCCGCCAGGCCTGGCCTCAATACAAACTCCCTGATGGAGAATCCTGGCCACCAGAGGGAAGTATCAATTTTAATACAATTTTACAGCTTGATAAATTTTGCAAAAGGGAAGGGAAATGGTGTGAGGTGCCATATGTGCAGGCTTTCTTTGCCCTAAGGGAAAACCCCAAATCATGCCAACAATGTAAAGTAGACTTGGCTGTGATCTCTGCCATGAAGAGAGAAAATCTTAAGGAGTCACCTACTGAGGAGAAAGAATTGGGAGGACCCATGAAATCTCCATCCCCTGCTGATGTCCAGCAGTGGCCCTCCTGTCTCCCATACCCTGGCCTCTCTCTATTTGACATAATAGTCAGATCAAATGTATTACTCTTCCCGGAGATGCCAGGAGGAGAATTTGGACCAATCAAAGTACGTACCCCCTTCTCCCTTCAATACCTAAGACAGATAAAAACAGACTTAGGGAGATTTTCAGAGGACCCAGATAAATATATTGAGGTATTTCAAAACCTATGCCAGGTGTTTGACTTCACCTGGAAAGATATTATGTTATTACTCAACCAGACTTTAACTTCCAATGAGAAGGAAGCCGCCCTAAGAGCAGCTGAACAGTTTGGAGATGACCTGTACCTTGCTCATGCCCCAGCGGCACAGACTAGGAGCAAACCCAATTATCCATCTGGAGCACAGGCAGTTCCCAGAAACGATCCTGACTGGGACCCAAATGATGAACAGGATGCTTGGAAGATGAGACATTTCCAAATGTTGGTCCTTGAGTCCCTCAGGAGAATCAAGCAAAAGCCCATTAACTATTCGAAAATTTTAGTAATTATTCAGGGCCCCCAGGAAAGCCCTGCTATTTTCATGGAGAAACTCAGGGAGGCAATGAGAAAACACACTGTGGATCCTGAGTCCACAGAGGGCCAACTACTTTTAAAGGTCAAATTTATCACTCAGTCGGCCCCAGACATTCAGAGGAAGTTACAAAAATGGGCATATGGCCCTGATCAATCTTTAGATGACATCCTCCGACTTGCTACTTCCATTTTTTATAATAGAGACTTAGAGAAAAAGAAGGAGAAAATGCGCAGAGACAGAAAAAGGACCGAAGCGCTGGTATCCTCTCTTAGAGGAGTCAGCTCCCAGGGTGAAAGGGGAGGCAGATGAAATGCTCCTCAATCCACAAAAGGGACTTGTTTCCATTGTGGAGAGGGAGGACATTTCAAACGGGATTGCCTACGGGCAAAACGACCACCCCCAAAGCCCTGCCCTAAGTGTCAAGGCAATCACTGGAGGAGTGACTGTCCCCAGGGACGTAGGTCCTCGAAGCCTGACTCCTCCACACAGGCCTGATGGGCCCAGGGTCAATTCTGGCTCCTGTATGTATCACCATCTGTGGGCCCCGGGTATGCTTCTCCCTAGGGAGCCAAGAGGTTGACTTCCTCTTTGATACTAGCACCACTTCTTCTGTACTCACTTCTTACCCCAGACCTCTTTCCCCTAATGTTGTACCGGTCAAGGAGTGTCTGGATGGCCTATTACCAGAAAGTTTACTCCCCCACTGAGTTGTAAGTGGGACGGGATGATGTTTTCTCATGCATTTCTGATTGTCCCAGAATGTCCTTTATTGGGAAGAGACTTACTTTCAAAACTTCAGATGTCCATTACAATGAATTTGGGGCCACAAGGACCATTATGTTTGCCTTTATTGGAATGTAATATAAACCCTGAAGTGGGGCCACTGAGGGCAAAAGCAGACAGGCAAAAAGTGCAGTCCCAATCAAAATAGTCTTAAAATATCCCTCTGTTTTTCCACATCAGAGATAATGTCCCCTACACCAGAGGCAAAAAAAAGGGGGGGGCTTATTAAAGATCCTTCAGAACTTCCAAGGACAGAAACTTTTAGTGCCCTGCAATAGCCCATGTAACACATCCATTTTAGGAATTCAAAAACCCAATGGGGAATGGTGCCTAGTCCAGGACCTCAAAATAATTAACCGAAGCAATTGTTCCTCTCCGCCTTGTGGATTATGGTTCCTAATCCGTATACTCTGTTATCTGAGATTCCAGCAGCCACTGCTCGGTTTACTATGTTGGATTTAAAAGATGCCTTTTTTTGTATACCTTTAGACTCCTAATTGCAATATCTTATTTGCCTTTGAGGAACCAGATAGTGGATCTTAATTAACCTGGACAGTATTACCCCAAGGATTTAGAGATAGCCCTCACCTGTTTGGCCAAACCCTAGCTAAGGATTACAGGAAATAATCCCACAATGTGGGTTGCCTTGAAGCCTACAGAATGACAATGGGGCAGCTTTCAAGGCAGCTGTCACTCAGGAAATATCCAAAGCCTTAGCTGTCAAGATACCATCTCCACTGTGCAGGAAGGGTAGAGAAAACTAATTCTCTTCCCCAAGGAACTGAGGAAGGATACTCCTATACTGCAATAGAGGACCTAAAATATCTCTTCCACAGAGACAATGGTGATGTGTAAACTTTTCCTTCTCTCTTTCTTTATGACTATAGGCAGATCCACTGAGACTAACTCTTTTCTGATGTGGGCCCAACAATATGCCACTAGGTTACAGAAAGATAATTACTGGATATGTGAACTATTACCCCTTTCCAGCACTCCTGGACTGCATTGGTGGGTATCCCCCACTTACAAGGAAATGATTGGGTAAATGTACGACCCCTAATGTTAGAACAAAAAGGAAGAAAGATCTTCTTTACAAAATGCCTCTCATCCCAATGTTCATTTATGGCCTATAAATGAAACTTTATCACAACCAGGTCATGGAAAGATTTTCACTTTAGAACAGACCAACCTTCAGACTTCTACCACTGTTAAATCCCATGTAGGCCCATCTAATTCTCCCCTTCCACCGTCAACATGTCACAGGTATAAGGATGGTTACTATCAGATTTGGGACGGAGATTTATGGCTCACTCCCACTATTGGGCATTTAAACCAAGAAGCCCCAATCTGTTGGGAACAACGAAACCATACCTATGACAAGTGGCCTAATGCTACTCGAGAATTAGGATGGACCCCAGAGTCACCATGCCAACAAATTGTGGTTTTACAAGCCGATGATGAGTTTGGAACAGTCTGGCTCTCTAGACCTAGAATTATTTGGCCAGCACCCAATGGAACTCAATGGATATATGGAACTAGTTTATGGCCCTGGCTTTTCCCCAGGCTGCAAAGGGAGATGTATTATTGTTGAGTATCCCTGGATGCAAGGGAGATGGACTCCAATGTAGAACAGCCAGCAAACCTCCCCAGTCTCAAACATAGATTGGGACAGTCTGTGTTGGTGGGTATGATCATCTAGCTTCACTGTTTATTATGTGGCACATGGAAACCTTAAACAATTATACCACACTGCCCTCCATGAGGTTGAGGAAAGCATCTCTCTCCCTATCACTGAAATAACACTTATGAGGAAGGCCATCTTCCAAACCGGATAGCCTTAGATATCCTCACTACAGCCCAAGGCAGACCTTGTGCCATTCTTAAAACTGAATGCTGTGTTTACATCTCGTGATAATTATGGCAACGTTGACTAATACCCTTAAAGATTTACACGCTCAGGTAGAAGCCATGTCCTCGCCAACCTTGTCACCGGAACAATTTCTTAGCTCCTGGTTCTCTGGTACCTCCTGGTGGGAAACATTGTTAGTCTCTGTCACCGTCATCAGACTCGTTGGCATATTCCTATGCTGTGGCATTTACTGTTGCATTAACCTTATTCCAGGACTAATAACTTCTTGTTTCTCTTGAAGACCACCCATCACTCAAATGGCCCTCTAGCCTGTTGCTTCTCAATCAGACTTCTATCCTGGACCACTCGATAGACCCGATTTTTAAAGGGGGAACTCCAATCTGCTTGCTGCACGCCGCCCCCTTCCAACTTGAAGAAGCCAGAGGATCATTGTCGTCCCATTTCCTTTCAGCAGTAAGGAGTTCCTAAGATTGGGGGGGGGGGGTGGAATGAAGCCAGATTTAAAGATAGGTAGTTAGTGTAGTTAGGTAAATCGGGTCTAATCTAGAGTCCAGTAAAGAAAATGGAGTCCGATCTAAGCCTGGCAAACCAGAACTTCACCAGAACTACAGAAATGTTAATGTCCCCAAGGCCCTGGACCCCTGTTAATGAAGCAGCTCCCAGCAGAACAGGGAAATGTTAATCAAACCACCCTAGGCCCTTCCTGCCCAGATCACTCAGCCATATCCCACTGGTCCACCTGTTTCCCACCTTTTGGCCTTCCCACCTGCATCCCCCATCACATCAGGATAGAGGGGAATACAGAACAGGAATGTGGGAGGAGAAAAGAAGAACTTAGATATAAAAGGAAGAAGTCCTCCCCTTTCCACAGATTTTGCCTTTTGGGTTCCCTTCTTCCTGAGGTGGGGGGTGTCTTTTCTGCTTTCCTTTAATAAAGACTTCCACTGTCCACTCTATGCTCGCCTGGGCATGCTTCTCTTGTGTTATACTTCAGCATTCGGGGAAGCAAGGACTTCTCAGTAAACAGCGGTAACCTGAGTACTCTTCAAACGATATGCAGCTTATAGACCATTTTAAGAGTGTTGAATTTTGTCAGAGAGATAAGGAACCAAGAGGGCGCTATGAGCAAGGGAGTGACATGATCTGACTCATTCTTACTAAAAGAATCATCCTGTGGGTTCAATTCCCAATTACTTAAAGTCGCTCTGACAGCCATGGTTAAAAATAAACTATTAGGGGGTACAAGGATTGAAGTAAGGAGATCAGTTAGGAAGTTGCTAAATAATCCAACTTCTGCCGCCTTGGGAGTGAGTGGCAGCCAGCCACATGCAGACCTGCAGCACCTTAGGTGAGAAGGCCAGGAGCACTTTGCTACTGATACCAGCAAGTCCATTTGGGTGGTAACTGAGCTGCTGGGAGTCCAAACACAGGTTTTCAAGTTCCCGGCCAATTCACTGACTCCCAGACGACATAATGAAAACAGAATCTAAAACAGCAAAGCAGAGCAGTATTGGAAAGGCAGTGCTAGGGGTTTTATGAAAGCAGTGTGTGGGGGGGATGTAATCCCTGCCACCTCAAAAAAAAGCAGTAAGAATGATTGTGCAGGGCTGGGGATGCAGCTCGTGAGGTAGAGTGCTTGCCTAGCTCGCTTGAGGCCCTGCATGTTAAGAACTATTGTGTTCAGGAAGGATTCTGCCTCATGACTCTATCCCCAGGCTTAGCACATTTTAGATGCTCAATAAATATTTACTTCCTAGCTAACTGATTCTCTGCATCTTACATGTTATCTTATTTGCTATTCACAGTACTCTTCAATAGAATAGGCGCCAATAGGAGACAGCTCAAACACATGTTTAGAATAAGTTCTGGTTAATGTGGCTGACACAGAGGAGGAGAGGAACATATCTTCTGAGTCACTTAAAATTAGTGATGGCATTAAGGAAGAGGAGCAAACAGCTATTGGAGGGTGACACTGCCGTCAAGGGTTGTGTGTCTAATCCTTGCCATTACCAAGTGGATTAAATGTGTTGTCTGAATTGATCACTGTGAGACTTCAAGGTGGGTAATAGGAGGAAAACGAGGCTCAAAGAACCACAAAATCTTGATCTAGACCAGTGGACTGAACTCTGTATAACTGAATTTCTGGAAAAAATACATTAAATTATTATGGCCAAACACTGTTAGTAGGAAGCAAAGTGTAACAAATGGAATCTACATTTCGGAGTTGGACAAACTTGCATTTGAGTCCCAGATTCACCCACCTCATTGTAAAACTGAACATTTCATCCAGCATTTCTGAACTTCAGTTTTCTCATCCATAAAATGAGGTAACATTAAGGGTACTGTAAGTATTAAGTAAAACTACCTTGCATAATTGTAGAAAGGCAAATGCTATTTCCCTTTTCTTTTTTAAAATTTTTATTCTTTTTAGATATACATGACAGTAGAGGGGCTGGGGATGTGGCTCAAGCGGTAGCGCGCTCGCCTGTCATGCGAGCGGCCCGGGTTCGATTCTCAGCACCACATACAAACAAAGATGTTGTGTCTGCCGATAACTAAAAAATAAATATTAAAAATTCTCTCTTTCTCAAAAAAAAAATGACAGTAGAGTGTATTTTGACATATACATGCATATGTCCCTTTTCTTAACCTGTTA